GAGCAGTACTGATATCATGGTAGGCCATGATTCCACAATCCCATGGTTTTTTGAACTTATTCCTGCTAATACATTTATATAATATCGTCATGTTCTTTTTATTTGACCATTAAAGTAGCCACATACCTGTATGTGATAAAAGGGTAATCCGCATTACGTAATAACCTCGACGTGTGATTGCCACATAATTTTTGAGGTCATGTCATTCACATCCGATCCGAATGAGCCCCAACTATCGACGCAGACCAGCCACTTAGGTGGTCTATGAATATATGCGTATAGATTTGAAGTGCAATGAAATTGGCAATGACAATGACTCTCTTATACGCAGCACTCTAAATGCTACCTCAATCCGTCTCGGTTTACTGACAGTTCAAATCCTAGGTATAAGATGGTGGCCAAGAATAGTATTGCCAAGCCCCACTCATTAAGTGGAAGATTACCAAAAATGCACTTACTGTAGAGAACAAACTATAATATCTACAACCCACCCTAGGATTTTAACGAAGAGTTTAGACGTCTTGTAGTGAAAGCCGAAGTCATAGTAACAATTGATATGAAGTGAAGTTACTAACTAGAAATCACTGATAGTAACGGCGATGATTTCAATCTACTTCAACCATAAACTTAATAAAGCTTCATCACACAAATAATTAGCTGACAAATTTATATCCACATTTTGCTGTGAAACGTTCCTTGTTTATTGCTGTCGTTTTGTACCAGCTGTACTGAGCATGCACCTGTCTTGAACACTACTGACCATGCCGGTAAGAATGGGACGTAACAGCTTTGTTTGAAATATATTATTATTACAATTGTGTAATGAAATGAATACTCGTGTAAAACTATACTAAGTGCCTCATTTGAAAATATGTAGTGACATTTGACCAAAATCACACGATCTCCAAAGCTGAACGGAAGACCCTTGGGAAAATAGATGTTCAACATATAACGCGGAGAACAACCCAACGGTGGAGATGGCAGGAACAATGAATTGAATTAATTCGAGTTGATCGGATAGCATGACTCGGCCTTGCAGGCGTGGTCATTGTTGGATTTTACCCCATATCTTTTATTCGTATTAAATATATTGTTCTATCTCTAGCCTAAGTTTTTTCTCCATCATGTATTGGTGATTGTTATGATTCAATGAGTTGGTGTAGACGATGATGTGACTTACATGTAAGATCCGATAGATTAGGCAGTTACATCATGACAAATCTACAATTTAAGGGTTAGGCCTATTATTAGAGCAGTACTGATATCATAGGAGACCACAATTCTACAAATACTCCTATTCTTACTCAAATTTTTTCTATATATTAACATTTTTCCAGGACTAATGTAGTCTCACATTGATGTTTTTTACCTTTGGTTGATTGGACATTTGTTACTTGTCTTTGGTTAAATTTCTCATATATTAAATAATTTTATCATTATATGTTAGACTGTTGATAATGAATTCTTCTTTCTACATGTGGCTTTCTGTTAAAAGCGTTTGTTGACAACTTAATTGTTGAAGATAGGATTTTCAGATACTTCAACACAAACGTATAAACAGTTTTTCAATTGTAGCGGTAAATAAATCCCCAAAATAAATAGCTATGTAAGTTTTCGACATTGGATGCTGACCATATGTTTTAGTGGACTCATCTAGTTGAAGGCGCTCGGTCATGCATCCGCACCAGATCACGTGTGGTATCACTGTGTTCAACATCTACCGTAATCGCTAGCCAGATTAGATCAGAGATTTCCGATATATTGGTTATCGCCAAATACACTCTTCCGATTTCCTCGACTCTGTCTTTTGATTTCTCTCGGTGGGAACAAAGTAAATTAGAAGGTGTTACTGGTAGAAGTGTTGTCAAGCACTGAATACCTGTATCAACCTCACAATGTTGGGCTGAAACTTCTAGAACTACCCTACCTATCACCAAATATGAACAGGTATTTATAATTAATTGTCTATAGACGAGACTCAATATCCTTTGACCGAATACCATCAACAACAGCACATTGTGGGAGAAAGCAAACCAACTTCCAGCTGAAAAGTAAATTATGAAACGACATTGGAAGTGGATGGGATACACATCGCGAAAATCACCGAACTGAATCACGAGACAAACTCTAACTTGACTTTTGTACTGAACCAACGTCACGCCGATCCTGATGGGAGAGTAACCTAGGACTATTAATTCTCAAAAACATGACCATGGAAACCGAAATTAATATTACTGAGAAGAGTCATGTTCAAAATTTAACTCCTGGAGAAATTCAAATATTGTTTACTCAGAGACACTTAATCGATATGTCATGGCTCGACTTTGCAGGGATGTTCACTATCTAATTTATCCGTTCCGCTATTAAATGCACTCTTCCATCCTTAGCTCAAATATGTTATTCAGATTACTTGTCATCATATAGGACGAGCCGGTGTGGTGAATAATGAGGATTCCGAGTAAGATGTTAAATATATTAAATAGTCACATCATGTCAGATCAACCATCGTTTAATAGGTCTAAGATCCTAGTGTATTAATACTGAAATGTGGACATGAATGACTTACAGAAAGACACATTTTGTTTTGTTGCAATAACAAGGAAAGAAATGCTATTGTGACGAACCAGCTAAGGTCGAAGTATCACCTCGTGGTCAGCACCTTGCGTGGACTACCTCATTGATGTATCAATGTACCATAAACTCTTTGAAGACTGTACAACACAGAGAACGTTATTACATAAATATATTAGCTAAAGTAGATACCAGCGAAAGGAAAACCACCACCGCATGGACCAGTCCACGGCATACAATTAACTGATGTGCGTTGGTTGTCCTTGACCTTGACGAGGCCAACGATTTGTTATATATTCAATGACACAACTACCGGATGATTTGGCTAGGGCTCAGTGGAATTTCACTGGCTCTACACTATCTATATACTATGTCCTTCACTGATGCTTTCGAAATTAGCACGGGAATCTTTTATAAGATGGCTACAGGTTCACCAAGTCTTCTTTCAAAGTAATGAAAGAAAATATTACAACAGATACTTTTGTGGATGCAAAAATAGCAACGGAAAAATGACAAACATAAGTCTCATTACGGCTTTCAGGTCATCTTCAAAAAACCGACAGGGAAAACTTGTACATCCTAATGGAGGACTTAAAAGTCAGCGTAAAGTTGAACATGGAGGCATAACATATATTAATTATGAGAATCTGGTAGGTTCGTGTGTCTTAAACAATTTGTTTAGAGGTGGTGACAATTCACTACTATACTGTATACAAGAAATTACACAGGTTTCACCGGACCACTTTACAAAAACTAGATTGTTCGCCTCAGAGAACACAGATCTCTATATAGATGTAACCACATCAACAATCGAAAGAATTTATAAGACCGCTAAACAGGACAAGCATGTTAAACGTCAGTACTAAATTAAACAACGAACTCAGATAAACATGAACTATAAAGTTGCATTATCGTTTTTTTTCAGAAACATCCGGGAGGAAGTATTAATATTGATGCTAATTAGAGCTTCAAGTAGTTTTCCAGAACGCATTTCTTACTATGTATCTAACATCCACAACCTTGGTTTTAGTGGACATAAATATTCTGAGTACTGTTTACCCAGGTTTCGACCAGACGTACACCAATGAGTAGACATACCGAGACAAAAGGAATACCGAGCCGTTCACAGATAATCAAACCACGTAAAACAGCTCAAATATTCGTGTCAAACTTGAATTTCTACCTATTCTCTCCGTAACGTGCTTCATTTTCCCTGTTCTGTACATAGTAGTACTGTATTCTCGACATTCTTAGGTGTTTTTCTTGTATTTACACAGTTTTTCACTTCTTTTCGTTGTTTATCCTCATATTATCATCGTCCACCACGATCATCGTTGTCATTTTGTATGATGCTAACCACTCTATAACAGCTCGTTCGGAAATTAGCTACCTAGTTCTTGAAATTCGTTGCAGTGTACCGCTCCTAGATGGGCTACTAGCACTTACAATACTTTACGTCAATCTATCGAGGATTACATGCTCCCTTAATTTTCTGCTTGTATATATTGGTAACATTCTTCCTAAGGAAACACCAAGTTTTCCAGTTCATGAGCACCATACTGCAGAACCTAATCTAAACACATTCTACTAATCAGAAAACTGTTTCGTTTTCTGTTTATACAGTACTCGATTGCTGAGGTAACTCGTAGTATATTTTCAAGTGTAGGCTGATATTACTACGTTGCTCTAGACACGATAGAACATCTGAGCTGTTGGACACCGTATATCCTGCTCTGTACTTCCTACGACTCCGATCACTGGAACGTTACGAACCAAGTCCAATTTATTCTGCTGCTCGGGTAAGTTTGAAATGTATTCTATATCAAACATCTAATGTCTCAAACATAGCATAAACATTCAAAACTAATTTGGATTAGTTACTCTTAAATTCAGATCATGCATTACCTGAGGACCCAAACGGCACTTCTTAAGCAAATATGTTTGAATTAGTTCTAGGAGAAAAAGAACTTCTTAGCGATGTTTGGTCAACAGAATCAAGACATGGCTTTTAAAAACTCAAAGTAGCTCAAATCTAAAATGCTAGTAAGAAACTCAATTAAAAGCTATAATTGACACGAAATTCTAATATAGGCATAATTAGAAATTACGGAAGGAGGAACACCTCTACATATAGACTTCAGTGAGAAAAGAGTAACTAGTCCTAAGAAGATAAACAAAAACTTGCATGTATAGATTAGGTAGGAATATCGATGGGATTGTGGTGTGACAATTTTAGAAAATGAGGTTAGTATTGAGTAGTGGCAGAAACTTCAAACGAAGTAGAAGTCCTATAATTAAGACGACTAGTATGGGGATTAGAAAATGACACCTATAAGTATGCACAGTAGGTCATAGGCAACACACGATAGTAGCCGGAAACTGTACGTCAACACCAATGAATCACAGCTTTTGCAAAACTGAAAGCAATTACAAATTGTCAACTAATGTTGTATTTCAAAGCAATTAGAAATAATCAGTAATATTAGCTTTTCCATTTTTTCTTGTATATAGGATACATGAATTGTGTCAGTATACGAATAAAAAAGTAGCATTTGAATCAGGCGAAAATGAAGGAAAAATTTAACTAAATAATGAGAACAGTGTACAATAATTTATACACAAAAAATTGAAATGGCGACAACACTGCAAGTCGATGAATGGACGGTATTTTGAATGTAATAATAATCTCACATTATTTCTTGGTATTATTATTACTAACATATTCAGTCCCATCATCTGGTGAATGTCCATACGTCGAATGAATTATAACATCCTGGAAAATTGTTAACAACAAATTTGTATTATTGTTAAGATAATATAAATAAATATGCGCACACAACAATAAGGTGAACATGCAATTAAAACAATTAAACACAACTAGTGTGCTCATTGAGTTTTGAGCTAGACACAATAACCAGTTAGACGTAAGGCAAAGTAAATTAGTGTAAATTGGGTAAATAAAAAAATTCAGACTAAAATATGAATTCTACTGTATTTTTCGAATATGCTGCTATATTCGTAAAACAATTTGGTAAACTACACTCAACAATTGAGGTTTTACAAAGATGAAGAGTCCTTTATGGATACCGTTCAGACTCAACATGTACTTTTCAGATACAATTGATACGTGGACATATAAAAGATAGTTTAATGGATAAAGATTAATCAGCAGAATAAAAACTAGCAAATACGTTTAATATTTTTCTCCACATGAAACGACTACATATGCTCTTTGTAGTGTGGTGGATAATACAAATATTCGTTGAAAAATAAAGGTGATTCAGCAATCTTACTTATTGAAGACCAATTATTGTATTTATAGTGATTTAATAAACAATTTGTCTATCGAAAAATAAAGAGATCATAACACAATGTTTGGAGATTCCAAATATCATAAAAGGGTTGCGAAACAACCTAAAGGTTAGATAATAATAAAATTGAAGTAATTTATGGGTCGGAGAGAGATATTTGTCTCATTGACAGGTGTAAAGAAGAAATGAAAAACATGAAGGTGATAGTAACAATTAAAATACAGTTATAAAAAGTTGTAGAAGAACAACGACAACTGATTAGAATATATTTGTACACATTTACTAAGTGATATCGTAGAAAAATCTTATCACCAAATTGCTTTTATTTATTCTACATTAACACAATAGATTTCTTTCGTTACGAAGACTCATAATCGATTCCTGAGTGCGGAATCGTGGATACACACAGTTAGAGAGTCCCATACTAGGATAGAACGGCCGTCTAGTGTTTCCAGGTTTTCAATGGTTGTCTAACTTAGATCAGTTTATGATTTCAATAATATTCCTATCGATTAATATAAATTGTGTTTTTCAAACATGATATTAAAATTATTATAGGAATCAGTTTATACTAATCTATGCACTTAAATATGTATTCTCATCGAATCAATTATATTAGAGAATGTATTTGTTTTTACGAAAAATGAGCAGAAGATATTGACGTATGTTGGATGGGGGGGGGAGAGAGGGTAAAATGATATCATTAACTTCATATTTAAGATTTAGTTCTTGTCACTGATAAAGTATATGGACAGATAAACAAATACATTCGAATTGCTTAACAATAAATAATCAAAATATACATATCTACTGCATTTAATGAATAAATGATTGATAGCATTCAATATTGATTAGTATTATAAAGAAGTAACTATATAACTTAGCTAATTTAATTACATTTGTTCACTAGAACAGTTTAATCTTATGATGTTGTAAATTATGCTTATTTATTAAATTGTTGATTGATTAGTATCAAATCCTACTGATCATTATAAATAAAATCAATGCATGCAAATATAGTTTTAGATCCTTTGCTTTCCAACTTGTACCGAGTCAATATCAATTTTTGTTATAACAGTTAGCTAGTTTTAGGTTAATGAAAACCAAAAAGTTTTGTATTTTCATAATTATTAAAAATTAATGAACATATGCATATAATAAACCGCAACATCTATAATTGTTACCTCAATATTTAGAAATCGCAGAAATATGAAAGTCATACTGACTGTATAGTCTAATACTCAACTGAAAAAAATACTACATTAAGAAAACCGTTAAGAACACCATGAACAAGTAAATTAAAGTGGAATAGCATCCAAATTTTACTGTTTATATATATCGTTAAGATATTTTAAGAGTTTACTGAATTTATTTATTTGAACACATAAATATTGGTATAAACGGCACCAAATATATATGCGCAACACAAAACAATGAGAATTTAAAGACAAGGAAAAAAAGGTAAGGAGTGCGGAAGAAAAACTGAAACTATAGAGGTAGGCAAAGTATGGGAAGTATTATTTGACCCGAAGTCAGTGTATCTCAATAAACAAGACCATTGTAATGTGCACAAACAATAGTCAACAATTTCTTGTCTGGATACAACACAAACAACGACAACAGACTTACATAAATCTAGGAAAGATATGCACATTGCACAGATTACATTAGAATTACCAATTATTAAGGACATTGGCGAGACTATAATTTACGGACGAACCAATTATATATAATTTTGGCACGAAATTCATTCACTTATTTGTCTAGTGTTTTGGCATTTTAGATTATGTCAGTTAGTAATGAAAACCCTAAATCGTCACACTAGTTTATAACTCTCATTTGGCCCTAGTTATTAGGTGGAAACTCTCCAAATCACCTTGGTGTTGCTCAAAGGTCGCCCATAAATTATAGTCTTAACAGGACATCTTATCAATAAACCAAGGATATATATACGATAACACATAAAAAAACAAATTACAGCAAACAAATTCTACAACAATGACAGTGAAAATAAATACCTATAGACGACATTTATACATAAATACAACTGTCGAGCACATTAATAAAAACGCACACGAATTCCATTCTTGGAGGGAATCCATGTAATTGCTGGTAGGTGGGTAAATTTATCCATACAAAGTATCTGGAAGCAACATACATGCGTATTACATTGATTGAAAGTATTACATAATGAAAACCAAAATGAACAATTATGCATGAAAAGTAAATAAATGGTCATAATGAATTCATTTTAAACTCAGATGATTCAGACATATTTCTGATAGAGAATAAGATTCCAATCAGTCTAACAAACATTAGAAACGACCTGACCGTAGATGCTATCTTGAAGTGGTGATCGGATTTGTCCATCGTGATGACTCAACCTAGCTATATTGGCTGTAACACATGCTTCTTCAGGTCCTACCAACCCAAGCATGTCGGTTGGAGAACGGTAAAACTAAAAGCACCAGCTTAAGTCCGAGGGTGACGTCATACTTCTGACTGTAGATGAATGTGACAGTAGTAAGGTGTTTCCTTCAGACAATCAGCATCGCAGCAATTCTGTCTTCTCAAAACGGAAGGGGCTAGGAAAAGGTCAACCTCACAAGTAGTTGTCCCTTAGGCTCTACTGTCACGCTCCCAGGTCGCCAAGACCAACACTAATTAGGCTTTCATTCCAGGTACTTTAAGAAATATCCTTCCACGATGTAGACACCCGGGAAGTGAAAGCCGCCCTTATACCGCTATCAGTACCCGAGATCATCTTGTTGGCGATCAAATCCTCCGCACACCTCTTAAAAATTCTTCCATAGCCGCGACTAACTCTTCTCATACATTTCTATCACCGCGCGCAACCAGTGCCAATGATTCAAATTCACGAATTGGTATTCTGCCTTTAAATGTCTTAGTATAGTTGAGTTGTAACTAATCCAACTCTTAGTGGGGTTGAAAAGGTTATAATCAATCTAAAATGAGGGAGAGCAACAGGGCCTGGTGAATAAACCTATGAGGATTTTAGGGAGGCAGGTCCAGTGTTCGCAGTTAAATTGACTGAAATCTTAATCAAGATCTGGGAACTGGACGTAATCCCATCCGAGTGGTCTTGATCACTGATAGCCCCAGTTTATAAGAAAGGACAAAAATTCTCTTGTGACAATCATAGAGCAATCAGTTTAACTAATATAATGTTTAAAATATTAGCCACAATTATACTTTGACGTCTAACCAGAGCTCATGAAGAGCAAACCCAAGAAAACCAGGCTGGTTTCAGGCTTTGATATGGATGTAAACCAAATATTCACCCGTAGGTAGTCTGTAACACGGACATACTTCTCAATGTCCAATGACAGTTGTATTTCTTGACTCTAAAACGACGTTCAATTCTGTTGATTGTAGCTTTTTAGCGATGTCTGTGACTAAAAGGCACATTAAACTTGTACAGGCTCTCTGTTCGAATACTATTGATCGAGTCAAAGTTTATGGTGAATTGTTATTGTAAATGGTCACGTCAAGTGGTGTTCGTCAAGGTCGTCCGCTTGCCCTACTTTTATTCAACTGTGTTACAGACATACTATCAGAGACAAAATTTTGACCGTCTTACTTTCTAGGAGTTGATCTTCTATCAGAAGATTCACTGGCTGACTTAGAATACACAGATGATATAGTTCTGTTTGTTGAAGACGTTGACAAAGTACAGTCTTCTGACCACCTTAAGCAACAGTGCAGACATGTTTTGGATGCAGTTCTCTCCCTCAAAATGTAAAATGTTATTTAAGCGTTGTCTTGCGTCACCACCTGGATTAGAGATGGATGTCAAGTAGTTGAACGTATAGATTGTTCCGCTCCTATTGGGAGTCTCATTAGTACTGATGGTCTGGCGTCTAACGAAGTCTTGGCACGTATTCAGAAGGCTCAACTGGCTTCTGCCAACTTGAGTCATTCATGGCAGAGTCGAGACATCCGCCTTCCAACTAGACGGTGAGTTTACTATGCAGCAGCTCACTCCGTTTTACTTTATAAGTGTAAAACATGGTCATTAGGAATAGAGGATATTCGTAGGTTACCAATATTCGGTCATGGGTGTCTTCGAAACAATGCTCGTACACCTTGGGACTACAGAGTAAGCAACGCCAGGGTTAGGAATAAAGCACTAGGTAAAGGTAGGAAGTCGGTTGGTGAGGTAGCAAATCTTCATCAACTGAAGTTGTTAAGACATGCATCACATATATTCGACCACCGCCTACCTCGACGGGCGATGTTTTCTGGTGCAGGAGCAGGTTGGGAAACGGCTAGAGGCGGCCAAAACAAAACATGACACTAGTTTATGAAGTAAATAACAAATGAACTTAGCTACGTCAATAAATACAGACTATCTGGTTGGGGTCCGTGTGATTATTTTAACTTATAGTCAGACTTTCAATGAGGTGGCTCAAAATTGTTTGCAATGGCGCAAGTGCATTCATTCTTTGCTTTCTCCAAATTTTGAAATCTTCAATTCCTCATAGCTCTTTTCTTGTTTTCATTTTGCTAATTTATAATTTCTTTTTGAGTCGCACGTTCGATGTCTAGAATTTCCAATTACCACTGATACTGTTACTACCTCTACTATGACAGGTTTCAGCGTATTGTCGAAAACAGCCGTAGATATAAGTATTTTATGGTTATTCAATTATCTATCAATAAAACAACGTAATATGCCGAAGTCATACATTCTAGATTATTTTTACAAAGCAGCCAAATAGATAGATCAGTGGCGGATGTGCTGATAAAACTAGTTACAACCAGACTCAATTGAAAAACTTGAGCATCTAACAAACCAAGCAGAATTTATATGGCGAACAAAAATCAACCTCGGTGCTTGAAGACAACTCAATGTCATAGAAAATATCAAAAATGCAGGTGAACATGAGACTATATCACTTTGGTAAGAAATATGTGTATCTGACTAGACACATCAATTATCGATTAGGAAGTCACTTAGAACGAATAAAAAATCATATCGCAATGGTAAGTTAAGGCTTAGCACTTCAATGTGTCTAAACTGTTATCAATCGAAGATTTAAATAGGCATCGGGGTTAGCAAAATATTTTTTACGCACTCGTATATGTTTTCATTTGCGTAGATTTGATTTTGATGAAGGCATGAAATCTGGTGATTAATAATTCATAAGTAATTATCAGTTTAGGGATTACAAGAAGTCTCCTAAACTTATCCTGTGGTACGAAGTTATCATAATCAGTAACTGGTGTTACACTAGTCATTCATTTTAATTTGACTACTAGTAATTAACAATATGAGATGAGAAGCTTAATACATGTAAACAGTTAGATTTTTCTTGAGACAGTGACACAAGAAATAAGATGAGATATCACTGATAACGACCTTACCTAAGGTGATGGAATGGTATTTAGAATAAAGAATGCTTTAATTATCGTAATTTACGACATTAAGTTACTGAACAACAAAATAACAGATGCGGTTGATATTTTACAGGATATTTCGTTTAATAAAGGTCGTTCTCAACAATGAAGAATTATAGCCAATTAAATAAGAACGAACCCATCAAAGATAAGAAAACATGATAACATTGTCAAAATCAAGCATTTAATCGTAAAATTCATCCTAAACGCGATTCCCAAAAGACAAATCAGCAACTTAAACGAGAGAAGTCCCAATTCAAACCGAGGCAACTCTTTGTTTTATAACAAAATAGCGCACATACTGAAAGATCTTAACTTTATGGAATAAACTTATGGAATATAACTTAGTGATGAAAACCCTAAATATAATTCCTAACCTTAACCATCAACTGTAAATCCTCATTCCTCACACTAGTTTATAACTCTCATTTAGCCCTAGTTATTAGGTGAACACTCTCCAAATCACCTTGGCGTTGCTCAAAGGTCGCCCATAAATTATAGTCCTACCATTAATTCTGTATGCGCAGATAATAAGATTATCGTTCTGATTAAAAATATGTAATAGAAACAAATGTTAGTACATATATTCCAGTCTGCATATCAGCATAAATTCGTGACCAAACGCAAGTTCAGAGTTAAGAATCAAGATGACTAAACCAAGGATAAGCACACACACATTTAATTCAATTTGTGTAGTCACAATGATAAACGGATGCATGTTGATTTAGTAAAAACACTAAACAAACATATAACTGTAATGTTTTTTTTAAAAATCTGTTCTTTAAAACACGGTGGAAGTATTCAAATCATTCATGTTATACGTGTTATGGAGAGAACCACATGACTATAGTTTGTACATTCAAACAATGTTCATCATTAACTAAGGAATACTGAAAGTCAGATTTTTGAATGAAATGTGCGAATTAAAATGAGAATAATCACTGACACTAACTTTATGTTACATCCATAATTAGAAAATAAAGTGTATACTGTTTATTTTCCAGAATTGGACTGATTTAATCTGACCAACGTATACAATGTGTAGCCATTAATCTAATTTATAACTTTACTACACACTTAATGTGAGAACATGCCTCGGAATCTATCACGATAGCCTAGAAAAACAATCGCCCTTCATTTTGCAGTAAATGTTAAGTCACAGTAGCTCTCCAAATATACTTCTTTATTCTCTGTTTAATCATTCGCATTATTATTGTTACATTATTTCAATTCATGTATTAATAACTTTATTAATTACATCTCGTCAAGCCTGTGTCATAGTAATTAGGACCAACGCACACATGTGTCAGACTCTACGTCATATTGACTGACTATTTCCAAGACTAATGACACTAACTTCCTCAGTACCTGTAGTTGGTGCTACTTTATAATATTCAAGTTGGAGACAGTACACTTTCGACAAGAATCTAATTTATATAATAGGTTAATGAAATAAGATATCACAATTGCCGGAAATATCACTAAGGATTGAAATATTGATAAAATAAACGCAAACAAATAGCTTATTCAGTGCAATACACAGTAGCCAACTTAACAGTAGAATTTAATTAAATTTATAATATAACTTGATAATGGATTTATTCCGAATTGGTCATATTATAGTCAGTCAGCTGCAATGTAGGACCAGGCACAAATATGAATCGGTCCAAGTTGCCACACCTCATTATCACAACAAGATCAATACTAAATTCATAGTAGTTACTTCATTGGTAGTAATGTATAAAAGAAACTGTGTATAAGGATATAATACAGGAAGAAAGAATTAGTTCGTAGAAAGAAAGGTATAAAGTAATTTTAATCTCACCGTTTAAGGGAAGACAAAGAGTTTATACACTTACAGTACTGTCACACAGTGTCTCCAACCATTGGTTACGATAGTTGAGTCGACCTCAACCAAGAAATATACATCTACCAACATGGCTCACATCACAAGTCAGTGACTTCAATGACTGATGCCACGTTTCGGTTTGGCCGCCCTCAACTTTATTCCAACAGTCTCCAACACTAGTCAGCATTGCGCGTCATGGTAATCGGTGTTCAGATATACGTGACACGTGGCCCAACCATCTCAGTCGGTGAACATTCACAACCTCATCAACTGATCTAACATCATCCCTTAACACCCTGCATCTAACCTTATTATTACTTACCCGGTGATCCCAGCAGATGCGAGCTATATTTCTAAGACATCTGTGAACAAACACTAGCAACTTAAGAGTATTTAATACTTCTACTGACCGCGTTTCGTAGCCGTAAAATGGAACAGAACGAACTGCTGCGCAGTGTACTCGTCCCTTAATTGGTAGACGGATATATCGCCTTGGCCATAGGTAACGTAAGTTGGCAAAAACCAAACCAGTTTTCTGAATCCGTCAACAAATTTCGCCAGACACCAACCGATTAGGGCTGATCAGACTTCCAAGACAAGTGAAGTTGTCGACGCGCTCGACTACTTCACTCTCCATCCTTAGTTCAGGTGTTGATGCAGACTAGTCCTGAAGCAACAGCTTGCATTTAGAGGTGAGAAACGCATCCCAAACATCCTAGCATTGTTTTTCAGTGCTACCAAAAGACCCTGCATTTTATCAGTCTCCACAAAACAGGACAATTTCATCCGCGTATTCTAAGTCGATAAGTGGGCCTTCTGGTAAGAGATCAATTCCTAAAAGTTCAGTCGACGAGAAAGTTATTTCCATCAGTATGCCTATGATGAAGTTGAACAAAAATGGAGATAGTGGACAGCCTTGCCGAACATCACTTGAGGTTGTTAAATCAGATGACAGTTTGTCATAAGCTGACTCGACTAGTAGTGCTCGAGTAAAGAGCCTTCACAATGTTTATGTACTTCTGAGGTACGCCTTTCAATGACATACACTGCCACAGAACCTCTCAGTCAAGAGTCGAGTGCTGCTTTTACGTTAAGAAAGACCACCACTGTCGGACGCCGATAAGCATACTTGCGTTCTAGAACCTGACGAGTAGTGAATATGTAGTCGATGCAGCCAAGACCAGGTCTTAAGCCAGCCTAATTTTCTCGTGTTTGCAGTTCACAAGTCTTAGGCGTCCGATAATTATTGAGGCTAGTATTTTAGATACTATGTTAGTCAAACTAATCCCTCTACGGTTATCACAGGATGATTTTGATTCTTTCTCATATATTGGGACAGTAAGTGATTGAAACCAGTCAGATCGGATTTTAGCTAAAATATTAGTTACCCTCAACGCTAAAAGTAGACCATCATCTGTAAAGACCTCTGCAGCCAATCCATCTGAACAAGCTGCTCTTCTTCGTTTTAGATTAGCCATAGCTTTCTGAACCTCAGATTGAGTCGAGGGACATACTTCAATGTTCCATTCACGCTGTCTGGGAATCTTGAGTAGTTGTAGAATAGCTGAAGGCCAGTTGAACTGATCCTCAAAATATTCAGCCCATTGTTCTAAACGTCTGGACTGAGAGCAGATAAGAGTGTCGTCTCTTTCCGAAATTACCTCACCTAAATTCGACTTAATAATTTCGGTTTCTTTTATTAGTCTGAGAAGCTATCTTGTGTTACCTACAGCCGCTGCCTTTTCCATCTCTTTTTCTTTCGTTGCCCACCACTGCTCACGGTCTTTTGGTTAACCAAGATCTGATTTGTCTTCGCTCGTTATCGTGTTTAGAGACTGATGGCATGAGTTTACGAGAATCTATCAGTGTTAAAGACTTAGCAGAAATCCATCGGTGTTTTGTGACCCTTTGGTTTGAATCACTAATAGATGGAGCTGCTGTTTCCACAGCTGTTGGTATATCTTTCCAGGTAACATCTGGGTTGCCTCGTTTTCAGAACTACCTAGGTATGGCCTGAGTTATTCCCGGAATCTACTTTCGGCTTCCTCGACTCGAATGGGTCTTCTAATGTGGTTTTCATGCGTCCAGAGAGGCGCAAGCAAACGTGTGCTCGTATTAGAGCATGATCGGAGTCCAAGCAGGTATTCCAGAACGAGCGACAGTTTTCCATTGAGCCTCTCAAACGAATACTGGTGGCAATATGGTCTATCTGAGTCCATCGTTGATTCGGTGCAGGGGGTCGCCATGTTAGACGGTGTCTCTCTTTATGCTTAAAATTAGTGCTTCCTAAAAATAAACGATTGTCTGAGCACAGTTGAAGCAGACGGTCATCATTATCTGTTCGCTGAGAAGGAATACCAAAATACCCATTTAAATGTCTTTCTGTTTGGTTTAAGCTACCTACCTAGGCATTAAAGTCACATTCTACGAGTGCTATGTCTGAACGTTTCGCTTCCTGAAGAAGTTAAGAAAGCTTTCTGTAAAAATCGTCTTTCACATTATCCGTGCTACAGTCAGTGGGAGCGTAGGCAGAAACAAAAATATGCCTACACCTGCCAGTCCACGAGAAATAGCCATCAGGTCGCCAGATGCACGAAGGGTGTATCTCACCGGCTCTCTGTTTCGGCGAGGTGAATGACCACACTAGGATCCTGTATACGTGTCTTGGAGACAACATACATCAATGGTACGATATTCCAGGGTTTTAACCAAGGTGGTTCGCTGGCCGATTTGACATAGGGTGCGTACATTGATGGCTCCAATGTGTAGTTTGGAGCGAGGTTTCAATAGGCCTGGAACAATGTTCGCGCACTAGAATCGCTGACCATGGTGACACTTTCGGAGGGAGTCAAAAGAGTAGGTTTAAAGGTGAAAGTCGAGGTAGGAGGAATAATAGGAATTGAAGAGGGAGATTGATTACGAATACAGTGATATTGAGTGCTGTTAGAGGTATGAGGGCGGTTATCACTTCCTGGTTGCCCACACAGTGGGGGGTCTTCTGGAGGTACCTGAAAAGGAAATTGGGTCTGAGGTGGTTTTAGTGACCTGAGAGCGTGACCGCAGTGTTCAAGGGACAACTGCTTGAGGTCGATCACACAACCTTTTGTGAGTAATTTTTGTGTTAGCTCCGTACTTATTAGAACCCTACAGCCGGAGATGGAAATCTGCGGGATAAGGAAAGGTGTGTATTTCTAAGGTCAACCTTTTCTAGCCCAAGCCCTGCTTGTGGAAAGGCATCACTGCTGTTATGCTGGTTGTCTGAGAGAAACAGCGTACCACCGTCACATCTCTATATAGTCAGCAGTACGACTTCGCCTTCGGACCATGCGTTTGCTGCTTTTATTCTTAACGCTCTTCGACCAACCCGTCTGACATGGTAGGACCCTGAGGAACGATTGTCCCAGCTAGTATAGCTCGATTTGTTCATCAAGATAGGCAAGCCCGACCACCACGTCAAGGTAGCAGCAACGGTCATATTATAGCTCCTCTTTTAAATTTGTTCGTTAGTTTAGTATAAAGAAATCAATAACAGAGTAAAACGTTTCCTTGTTTTCTTTTTTAGATAAAAAAGCCAGACTATCAACGTCATTTGTCAATAAGGATTAATTAAATAAATTATCAGAATATTTGATCAATGTCACGACAAATAAAATTTTCCAACTGACCCCAAGCACACACATCAACAAGAAACCAATATATTTTTTTAAAGAACCTACTTTAACTGTTGAATAAGCAGAACCAACTTTATCATTCAATGATTTCACAACCTCTGAATTCCTTGAGTAATAGAAAGAGGAGAACAAATAACATTGCATGATTAAAGAAAAAGTGAAATTGCAACCCTACCGAATAGCAGAAATTGTTGACCCGACTTTTTCTTTAGCATCTTGGGCTACATTGACGGTCTTATCTTTAGCTTTACTTAAAAGTTCGCTTGTTTTGATATATCTGAATCAAATTTTTAAAAAACGAGGAAAAGCATTAAAGGTAATCAAAAGTGAGAAACCACAGTAAACAACGTTAACATAAATACCTATACTGCTAAGTTGATGATATTTGCAACTTTATAAAGTTCAACCAACCTTACGATTACAAAAGTAACAAATATGTAGGTGATAAACATACTATAGTAAATCAATCACTAGATCTAGGTTAAATAGTTGGCAAAAAGTAGGTCGGTAAAAACAATACATAGACTGGTATATATGCGCATCGGCACACATTACCATACTTCACAGTGATGGAACAACACGAAGAAAAATGAGATAATAAACAGACAATATGACTGAAAAGGAATAAATGAAGTAAGAGAATGGGTAATGCCGAACAATCCAAAGCTCATTGAATACAGCCAAGTCACTGTGATGCCAATGGAAACAAACACTGAGGAAACATACCTTTGCTCTATCATTGTACGCTTTGAGAAGAATCTGGACCTTTAAAATGTTTTGGTCTTTGAGAACGTTGGCAGCTATGCAATCTAATTTAACAATCCTCCTGGCGAAAGATTACACTATGGTAAGAACTTTATTTACTTGTGGTAAAACTTTTATTACGAGGATATTGATGAGGAAACTGACTATGGGGAAAAATAAGGTACGAATGAGAGACACCATGACCGAAAACTTAGGACTTTACGTTCAACTCACAAATGACCTTTTGAAGACAGTGGTGTAGTTATAAAAAGGTTGTAATTAGTTCTATAACAGTAGTATATATTAAAAAAAACTATATATATATATATATATATATATATATATATATAGCACTCACGCTTCTGTATCTTCCAATTTATGAATACCTTCCATGAGGTCATACTGCAATGTAGAAAGTGTGGTAAAACCAAGAGCCTTTTTTATCTCGTTAGATCGGCGCTGCTTAACAACAAGAGTTTCTTGAAGGAGACGAATTTCTTCTTCAACCTACAATATGAGAATACATAGGAAGTGAAGAAATTCATACTAAAAATAAAACTACAGGCCTGAAAACGGATTAAATATTGTTACTACATAAAACATCGTTAACATATAGTAAATAACTGAAATGAGTGAAAAGGTACCTCAGTATTTGAAGTGTTCATCTTTTAATCATAGGATTTCAGGCTCGAATACTGACCCAATTAAATCGGTGTGGAAGACAAGATAGTAGTATTATATGTCCTTACAGAAGTGACTGATTGCCAGTTAAACAAAACCTTACGAAACCTTACCTAAGTTACATTGTTGTTATGAGAATCAATCAGCAAAAAATCTTCACATAATTATCCGATCATATGAAGTTAAAAAATTGTAATTACATAGGTTCAATTGTATTCTACACTTTACTATCTATGAATTCAGTTTTATATGCAGTAAATACAGTGAGAGAAGTTAATAAAAGTATTCCCTCGTCTCTGCTATGGAAAACCACTGGCATGTGAGTTTTTTAAGATCCTATTTAGATTTAAATTATTTGACACGAGGCGATACAAATACCAGTTACATAACTTAGTATGAAAGTGTATTGAAGAAAATACTCTGAATGAAAACTATTTATGTTTAATGAACATAATTACTTAATGTAATGGGGAAAGAAGACTGGCGAAAATTCATTTACATTTATTATACGTCCATTAAGTGTGAAATTTTTTACCCTTCTAGTTAACAGTTTATGAAGCCATAATTCTTATAGTACTACCCTTTGAAACGAATTATTCTATCAGCTAACCAGAAACAAATAACTGTATAACTGGTCTTGTATTTAGACGTAAATAACGTTAGTAGGTCTGCAGTAATGTGACCAATTTCGATCCATATATCAAATTTGATTTTTAACTACTACTTTCTAGTATTTTGAAGAAACCTACCTTTACAATATCGACATAAAACTGCACAAAGCGCGAAAACTCAAAATACCTCACTTTTAATAAATGAGTAAAGTTAAACGCTGCCTTAAGGCCGAAGGCAAGTACGTATGCATAAAACAACTTGACGAGGGATGATAACTGAAAGTTGCTTAGTACTTACAGATCGTTAGTTTATGTTTGGCAACAGTTAAACTAACCAACGTCCTTTTCGAGCTTGATAATTGAGGACTGATATTGAATGCTGTTGGACTTTTCGCCATGTTGATTCTGGTTACTGTTACTTGATGTCACTAAATATACTAAGGCAACCTATTCTTCAGCTGATTTTCTTCCTCATGGTATCCGGAACCAGATGAAACGAGATTCGATAGAATAGCGAAGAAATACTACCTTTAAGTGGATTTTGGTCAGGTTAAAGTACTTACAGTCTATGTACACACATTTAGTTTCCTCATTTTACGACTAAAAACATGGACTCTAGATATGTTTTCGAACACTTCTAGGACACAAAAAGAAACGTTTATCCAAAGATTGGAACACAGATGGTACCACAGGGGAAACATTACTCGTCCCCCGATCCTTCTCAAACACGATAAGGAACGATATTTAACCGGGTTCGTTGATAACTTGATATCACAACTCGCTTAGTCGGAAAAACTTTCCGCTCAAGATTAAAGTTACAGGAGATTAGGAAAAGATTATCAGGATGAACGGACAGACTTAGGCAAACAATAAACGCAACACATAGAACGTTTATCAACACTTCTGACAACCATATTACTGATTAACGCTTACGACAAAGTCAGCAGTCAACAAGGAAATGATTCAGAAGTGCCAGTGACGTAAGGAAATTATCTAGGTACTTCTAGCATCGTTGAGGGTAATGCTTCCACTCCTTTAAACATGAAGACAGTTGTTGCAGCTATCGAAGACCTTTAAAACTTCACGATAGTCAAACCAATCAATTGAGCTATAGGATTACATGTTTTGGTATTAATTATACTTAAGTGAAGGCTAATGACACTTGCGTGAACAAACTAATACAGAGTGGGGTTTAAAACTGCGACCTATTGATTCATAGTCATATCCTCTATTCGGTTAACAAAAGACAGAAACCCACATGAATCAATAAGAATACCATTGTATTTATAAACAGCAACCAAAAGTAGTTTTGTTAATCAAAATAGCAAGCCAAATCAAAGAGTCGTAAACTAAGCTTAAGATATCATGATCTATTTCTTGTTGTGAGGGTAGCATAACAAGTACTAGAATAACCTAATATTTTTAACGTTTTAGGGGACGTTAACTTTGCCAACGAAAAACACTACAAATTACCTGAGACAATTCAACTTGTAGCCTTGCATTTTCCTCATCTGATAAAACAGGTTGATCAGTGCTTATTTCTTGGGGTACAACAGGAGCGTTTGGATCCATCATTGATGTAGTTTTCAACTTTTGGTAGGATTTTGTTTTTAGCTAAGAAGTACTATTTACTGGGAAAAGGTGAAGACCAGAGAAATAATCTGTAAAAGAAGTCAAAATATAAAGTGGATCGACTGCTGAGTATACATATAGAACTTTTTAAATAATATTAAAGGCAAATTATTACAATTGGTGAGGATAACGACAATGTGAAAGCTGAGACCACAATCTGGGAGGTCAAACAGTTGTCGACGCACCGTAACCCAACAACAGTTTTGAGCGCTTCCGAATTCAATATCCAAATAGTTCAAATGGTTGTGGACGGAATAGAAGAAGCTTTCGCTTAACGGGCTTCCGTGTCTAGTAGCAGCGGAACACCAACACCTCCAGGCAGAAACCTGGATATATTAACGATAATAGGGGCAAAAGAAATTGGTAAGTTGTAGTAAGATATTATCCTTCGTCTTTAAGAATAGGTCAAGTTTCCTCTTAATGGACTCCTGAGAAGTCGCTTGGACTGGATCATCTGTCAGCGAATCCTAGCATTTAACAACTCTTAAGGAGTAGAAGTTGTGTCTACAGTCAATTCTGCCGTCCCTAGTTTCTGGGTGTTATGCCTTAGGTTTGTGTTGCAGCTAAACTTAAGTAGGTTTTTAAGAGGATGTCCAGAAGTTTCAAGGGTACTGTAAGCCATTAGAGTGGCACTCCTAAGACGCCTATCCTCTGATGGGTAATAGCCTATTGATTGGAGGCTCTTCTCATAAGGCTTGAATTTGAATCCCCGAACTGATTTTGTGGCCCGCCTTTGGATACGTTCCAGAGTGTCTTTATCATTTGTAGTGAGGGAGGAAATACTATGTTTCCATACTCTAAATGGGGACGAATAAAACAAGTGAAGCTCATGTTGAAAGTTTTTCCGTCATACTGGTCAAAAACGCGCTTCAATGTTACCAGTGCAAGGTCTACTGGAAAGGCATTTTTGTCACAGTTAGAATAAAACTTAAAATCGTAGGGCACCAGGACTCTTAAATCTTTCTCGACTCGAGATACCACTAGGGAGGAGTTTCTTAAAATGTAACTGTAGTCTGCGACATGTCGCAGACGGACTACTTTACACCTTGAAGTGTTGAAGATAAGTCCGTTGTCATCTGCCCAACTTTGAAGTTCAGTCAAATCCTCCCAAAGTGCCAGTATATCCTTTTGGTTGCGTATCACTCTCCAAAATTTCACACCATCAGCAAAATAAATAACTCAGACGATACCTGTTGTGGGAGATCGTTTATATAAATCAGGAAAAGAAGAGGTCTTAGTACTGAAGCCTGGGGGACCCCACAATGACATTCCATAGCTTGAGGGAAAGTGAAGTTAATATTGACCTAGTATGTCGATATTTTAGGTATGAAATGAGCCAGTCAGTTAAAGATGATTCGACACATAATAGTCTGAGCTTATTGATAAGACATATATGGTTGATCCCATCAACTGATTTTGAGAAGTCGAGATAAATTACATCGGCCATCCCCATGCAATCAAGGACAGTTGTCCATCTGTTCACCACAGTCAGCAGGCTGGTTATACAAGAATGACCCTCCCTGAAACCATGCTGTTAGGGTGAAAAAAAGTTTAAAGATAATAAATATTCATGTATACCGTCGCATATCAGGGACTCCATAATTTTTGAAAGTAAAGAGCACAGAGTCACCGGTCAGTAGCTCGAAGGTTTGCCGCGTCGACCTCCTTTGAGAATCGGTGTTATGTGAGTCAGCTTCCGATTTTTCGGTAGTCTGCCTCGGCTTGGCGAGTGTGAAAACATCACGCTAAGCTGTGTTGCCAGAATTGAAGCTGTTTTCCTCAATATAATAAAAGTAACCATATCCGGACCAGGAGAAGTGTCTTTTCTTAGATGCTGAAGTTTCCGTTACATCATTTCAGCGCTCATATTCTCTTATGAAAAGTCTGTTGGGTTTCAGGTAAAGTTCTTGTCTGTGAGGTTAGTATGAAACGGCCAAAATAAAGTGTTATGTAGTGTCTTATGTACAGTGATCGGTTAGGTGTTCTGGAAACCTTACTCTACCTGAACGTATTGTTTTGACTCGGTTGTCAGATGCCAATAAAGTGTCATCGTGAATGTTGATCATCGGGTAAGTTATCGTAATCGTGAGACTCGTGTCTACAATGGTATCAAAGGAACATAGATATGAATAGGGTTTCTTTCTAAATACGCGGCATCAAGGCGATCGATGCTGACACCATTGTTGGTTCCGTTCATGTCGATGACATTGTTCTTGGGTTCACTCTGAAGAACTTTTAAAGGTCATTTCTATGCCGTTTCGAAAGGTTGTCGAAGTGAGTCGTGATGTATGCAGTATACCGTAGGACAGGTCGAACAAACACATAAGTTGTTCGCAGCAGAGTGACTGGATGCAAGCCGTTTGTAAGCCCGCTTATGTAGGATGTTAGATCCATATTCATTGAAGATGATGAAGGAACCACGAATTCTCATGGTAGTTGAAGTGCCATTTCAATGTCAACTTTCACTGCATTGCGAATCTAAATTACAAGAAATAAGGAAGTTGATAAAGGGTGTGAGAAAACTACCAATCGCAACAAATAAATGCTATTCTATCCTGTCTGGATAAACAACGCACATATTCATTCAAAAGATAATATTTGGTTGCTTTATAACAAAGAGTGCTTCCAATTCTGGGAGAGTGCCTCAATTCACAATCAAAAATGCACAATTCCAGTCAATACAAGCAACACAATCAAAAGGAGTAAAGATGCCACAGGTTTTCGGAGTTTGACAACGCGGATGCATGACCGAGCGCCTTCAGTTAGGTGAGTCTATTGAAACTAATGTGGTCGGTATCCAATGTCAAAAACTTACAGAGGTATTTCTTCTGGGGATTTATTTACCGTTACAGGAGGAACAAACCGATATGGCAGCTGCCAAGACTAAGTATCAACCAAAACAAGATAAATGCAGTTAAGGAAGAAACACGGAAACTTAGTGAAGGCGTAAGAAAAATAAAAACTATGACAAAATACAAATACTAACAACTCAAATGAAATAAAAAGGACTAACAAAATAAATAATCAAAGGAATAACTGTGAACAAACTGCAAGTGTATACATTCAGGGATTTTCACACACAAAACATTCAAAATTGGTCTTACAGGTACTGCTTCTGGTAATCGTGTGAAACGATATATAGAAGTTAAGAGAAAAGAGTATCCAGTTGAGTCTGGTTAGGGTCCTGCCAAATCCCGACGAACATGGTGGAAGCAATCGTCGGGAGGTTCGAAAAAGTTTAGGGGATATTTACTGTGCAACGTATTGAAGACGTTGAGTTGTTAATGTTTCGGCACGATTGGACAACCTCGACCTGCAGATGTGTCGCATAGCAAATATTTCTTATGTGTTCCCATCTGTTTCGTGGAAGATAACTCATACCGAAGATTAGTATCGGTTCCGTTTGGTATATCTCAGTGTGCTTATCGAGTATTTGTTAGCAGTATAGATCGATCGTGTGTTCTACTGTGACTGGGGATAACCAGTAAAAGAAGTCATACGAACAGATATATTAGTATTTTCTTCTACTAACCTCCGTTTACGCCTGTCGACAAGTAAATTACGCTGTTGTAGGAGGTCTATATCTATGAAACGTTTGAACAACAAAGATCCAGTGTAAGGGTTCGCGTGAATCCGAATTATCATATGTGGCAATCGGTTTCTCATTTGACGTCTGTAGATTAAAAATTGCTTCGTATAGTCGGTGATTGCAATTCGCAGAAAGAACACTAACGTCTGTGCAAGTGTCGACGAGGTAGTGAACTTTCATTGTCATATCAGTGATGTATAACAGGCTATATTGTTCGTTGGCTACGGTTACGAGGAAGCTGCAGGGTTTTCCACAGTTCTGAGGAGACTTACTATACTTTTTATGATACCAGCACTGATCAAGGTTATCTGTCCCTAGCCGTCTGGAGACATATTTTTTTGTGAAGTACCTCGAGGAGTTTGGGAGCGTCTACGGTTCTAACGTATACCAAGGTGACGGTTCCGCAACGTAATTTCGTGTTGTTTGATGCTTTCCTTTTATGGAATAGTTTTCGGAGTTGAGGGTTCTCATGATCTCCAGAACTCGGTTGGAAGGTGCAGCTAGTTCATCTACAGCGTTGCTTTGAAATGAGACAAGGACTTCCAAACTTGTTGGGGAAGCTTAGACAAGGAAAGCTGTCCAAACAGTTTGTCGTCGAAGGCCCGGTGATCACTGACTTTTCGCATTCGTAGCAACATTTTTGTTGCTGAGAGATGCTGTAGTCTAATAGCATGGAGGAGTTGGTCTCGTCTTTGTTGTTCAGTTAGATCTCCGCGTTTAAGAATAGACGACTTTAAAGTTTTATGAGGTTCTGAGACGTCACAAGGGAATATCCTAACTGTAACATTCCTCTTGAAGTCGCAGTAGTGCTTTTAACACTGTGAGGAATTGTGCACGTGGTTCTGATACGCCGTGGTTGCGGAAGTCAGATTCCGCGCAGCAGTACCAGGCTTCGATATTGTCGGATGGGAATGGCATTAGCTGAAATTAGAGAGGCGAAAGAGTCTCAGTCTTAAATAACTTAGGAATCTGTCCGGTGATGATGAATATAAAGTATGGCGTTGAACGCGAGGAAGATATCCGTAAATGTGAAAACAACGTCACAATATGTAAAAATAAAAATAAAATATAAATAATGTTTCAATAAGGAACAGACTCACAGTTTACGAGTAGTTGTACCAGATCATGTCGGAATCACCAAACATGCAACAGATATTCGGGGTTTGACAACAACTTTATATCCAAAGTATGCCAACCCAGTGAAATCAGAAGTCAGAAATGAAGGAGTTCGAAGACTTATTCGGAAAGTTATCGGTATGTCGAGAGACGTTCGGTCTTAGCTGGCTAATGATTGAAAGGGATTCATGGCATGGAGTACCCACTCGTGATCTGGTACAATTACATGATCGAGCGCCTTCACTTAGGTGAGTCCAGTGAAACTAATGCGGTCACAATCAAATGTCTGAGATTTTCAGAGCTATTGATTTTGGCAACTAACTTATCTTTATGTGCAACCCTGCCATGTCAAACTAGTACATGCATGATGACTAAAGGGTTGAAATTCGACAATAATAGGAAAATTAGTAATTAATAAAAATACTATAGTGATAAAGTTACTTCGGTATCTAAGCGCTGTATTCCTAATGGAAAACCTAGTACGAATCGATAAAATATGA